TCTGGGCAGTGTGGGTGGTCTGGGCAGTATGAGTGGTCTGTACAGTGTGGGTGGCTGTACATTGTGGGTGGTCTGTGCAGTGCGGGTGGTCTGAGCAGTACGGGTGGTCTGAGCAGTGCGGGTGGTCTGAGCAGTGTGGTGGTCTGGGCAGTGTAGGTGGTCTGGGCAGTATGGGTGGTTTGGGCAGTGTGGGTGGGCTGGACAGTGTGGTAGGCTGGAACAGAGATGAGGCTGACTGTAGAGACATCAAGCTCTGTTCCTTTCCTCTTGCAATGCTGGTGAGTGTGGTGTGAAAAGCTTTGCTTGCGGGTCTGGCATCTCAGCTAGGCCATACCCACTGGGCGTTGTCTTGAAACCCACTGCTCCTCCTGGCCAGCCTTGACCGCAGCTGCAGCTCCGCTCAGGGAGGCAGTGGCTCTCCAGCAGGTGGCAGGCCCCTCACTTCCTCCCTGCGGCCACCTGCTGCAGAAGTCCCTTCCTTTGCTGTTCCAACTGCCCAGCACAGAAGGGACTCTGCTGCCATCATTACTTTTGTTCATCTTGGGGATGTATGTACTTGTTTTGTTTGTTCTCACAGGGGTTTTTACTTAATTAGGATTAAGGGCAAGAGGTCAGAATCCAGCAGGCACAGCTGGGAGAAGCTCGCAGAGGGGTGGAGTTCCGTGAGCGGCAGCGTGAGGTCCACAGTAATGCAGCTCTGTCCCCCACATGGGGAGAAAGGGTGGACACTCAGGAGCAGCGAGACCCAGGTGGTGATGCCGCAAGTATTCACCCAGCTGGCGCTCAGCCTTCCTTCCCACTGGCCTCCTGTGTGGAGACAAGTGCCAGGATCACGGAAGGCATGCTCGTCTCCAGGATCCCAGACCCTCGCCTGGCTTCCCAGCCTGGTCATGGTGGGGAGAGACTGAGGCCACGTGGAGAGGGCTGACTAACTGCACCTGACTTTTCAGAGTCAGATGCCCCATGTGCCTCTTCTCACGTGTCTTACGTTCTTGACCCGGGAGATACTGCTGCGCACGGGAGATTTCCCAGCCATGTCTCAGCGATAAGCAGTAGAGAGGTCAAGACCTTTACCTGTCTCTCCGCTCTCCAAGGTGGAAGGAAGTCCAGCCCCATGGCCGCCATGCAGCAAATGTGGACCAGGCCAGCCTGGGCAAGCACTTCTCACACACTGAGCCGGCTGGTCCTCTCAGTCCTGTGGGACTGGCCCTCAAGCCTGGGGACAGGTGACAGTGGGATGGAGGAGGAAGCAAGGGGCCGAGGCCCCACTGCAGTCCTGGCTGTGCGGGGAGGTAGGTCCACATTGATCTGGGCTCAGAATCTGTGCTCATACCACCTCCCAGTCCCACTAGGCAGACCCCAGAGGGTCTGGCCTCCCTCTGCCTCACCCCACATCGGGGCCGCACCCCTTTCTGGTGGTCCGGCACCTTGGAGAGAGGAGGCATCCCACGGGCGGGCCACGGCCCATCGGCACTAACTTTCCAGCAGGCAGTGGGGTCCCTCTGGTTCACTTCCATCTCTGGCTGTTTTTTTCACTGCAGACAGCAATGGCTGTGTTCTTGTCCTGTACCCTGTGTTTTAAACAGGGACTACCCACAGGCCACGAACAGCTTGTGTGCCCTTCATGTAGTCGAGTATGGACTTGTGGCTGGAATTTGTTTGCACCCAAGAGAATCTCTGCGTCCCCGGATGTGGCTGTAGCATGCTGGGTGGGTTTCTCCTCTGAAAGGGGCTGTGTGCACGTGGGGAGGAGAGGGAGATGCCCACTGACCTCATGCTTACTGTGTGTGTGGCGGGGTCCCCCGTCAGGTTCCCAGGGGCAGAAGTGTGTGTGGGGAGCTCATGGGACTCCCAGCTGTGGGTGGTGCTGGAAGTAGGGCTGGGCAGCCACGGCGGGGAGACCTCGACATCCCCAGAGCATGGCTCAGCGTTGAGGCACAGGGGCCCGATGTCCTTGCCATTGACCTGTCATTGACCCACAGGGTGCGGCCAGGCCACCCTCCTTAAGGCAGGGGCAATTTCCCAAGGGCCTCATCCGAGAGGAGTGAGCCACCAACCCTCCCAGCTGGGGAGGGGACCTGGGCGGCCACCCTCACGTCCAGGACCTGCCCATGCTAGTTGCTTGCACAGATTATTCACAGAACAGCAATGTGAGGATGGAAGCATTGTCCTGGCTGCGGATGAGGAAGCTGAACTTTGTAAGAGTTAGGCACGTCCCGCAAGGTCACATGCAGAGGAAGCCCGTCACCTCTGCGCTCCCCGCGTCTTATCTGCGGACCCATCCCCAGCGCCGGCAGCCTCAGGCTGGCTGCTCTGTTTGTTCTCTATTTATAGCAGTCTCGTTCTGTGTGCACATAACTTTATGAGCCGCCCGAAACTCCTCGGGAGGCAGATATGGTGCACACCCTACGTGCCTCAGACGGAGTGGTTTGGTGAAAGGTAAAGCTCTTTTACTCCCCTTGTCGTAAAACCGCTGTGGCAACGCGGCGCGGAGCGACAGTGTCGAATTCCGCTCATGCTCCCCGGGCCTTCTTATGAGGAATGTTAGGGAGTCTGCACAGGAGACTCCACGCTGGGGAGGAAACAGCCAGAAATAACAGAACGGGTGTTGACAACCCTCATGGCGTTGATTTCTGGAACCTCCTGGGATCCGTATCCTCAGTGTCCGTAGCTCAGTCTGTAAGACAAATACTCGGCGAAGACCATCCAAACAACACCAGAGGGAAGCCTGTTGGGAGGGCAGGCTCACCGCCTCCCTACCGCCCCCCACACGCCCTCCTCGCATCCCCCAGGCAGGGTGCTGCCTCTCGCGCCGCGCCCAGCCCGGCTCCTGCTTCCACTTCTCACGATCGAGACTTCAGCCGTCTGGACCTTGCTCCAGAACAGGAGAAATCACCCGTTCTGGTGAGGCAACCAGCGGGAGGCCACCCTGAACCGAACATTGCTGGAACGTAGAGGTCATTTTTTTCGTAAGAAGTAATATAGGATTTCTCACTCATCCACTTAGTACTTCTTAGCTTTATGGAGGTACAATTGACACACAATAAATTGTTCATAAAGTGAGCAACCTGACACGTGTCTACACCCATGAAACCACCGCCACAAACAAGATAAGGAACATCTCCATCGCCCCAAAGATTCCTGCCTCTCTTTGCCATCCTCCGGCCCACCCCTCCCTGTCCACACCCCTGATCTCCAGGAGCCTCTGACCCGCTTTCTGCCAACATTGATCAGCAGGTGTTTTCTACAACTGTTATACAAATGTAATAACACAGTAGTTACTTTTGGGGGGTCTGGCCTATTCCACTCAGAATGATTATTTGGGGTTCATCTATGTTTACGCGTGTATCAAGATTTTACTCCTCTTTGCAGCTCAGTGACCGCTGTACCGATACAGCACAGCACACGTATCCACTCAGCCTTTGCTGCACGTCTGAGTTCTTTCCACTTCGGTACTAATTTAGTCACTCCAGCTTACTGTGATTAAGGTTAGCACACTGTATCTTTTCCCAGTCTTTTATTTTAGGCATATTTGTGTCTTTATATTTAAAGTGGGTTTCTCGCAGGGAGCACATAGTTGGATTTTGTTATTTTCTCTATCTGACAACCTTTTCCTTTTAATTGGGGTATTTAGATCATTTTTTTTTTTATTTTTTGAGGAAGGTTAGCCCTGAGCTAACGTCTGCCAATCCTCCTCTTTTCGCTGAGGAAGACTGGCCCTGAGCTAACATCCGTGCCCATCTTCCTCTACTTTATATGTGGGACGCCTACCACAGCATGGTGTGCCATGTCAGCACCCGGGATCCGAACCGGTGAACCCCCGGCCGCAGAGAAGCGGAACGTGGGCACTTAACCACTGCGGGAGCGGGCCGGCCCCAGATCATTTATATTTAATGTGATTAGTGACATGGCAGCTGGGTAAATCTAACGTTTTTCTATTTGTTTTCTATTTGTCCCATCTGTTCTTTGTTTCTCTTTTCATTTTTTTTCTGTTTTCTTTCAGATTGAGTATTTTTTATGATTCCACTCGGTCTCCTCTGTTGGGTTTTCCGCTGTTGCTCACTGTGTTGCTGTGTTTTCACAGTTGCTTTGGGGGCTGTGATGTGTGCCTCTGTGTTCACACTCTATCTTCAGTGACATTGTACCAACTAAGATCCTCTCAGCAGCCGCCTCCTTCGTGCTATTGCTGACACGTTTTCTTCTGTCTGTTACAAATCCTGTGACACATTGTTAATTTGTCACCCATCTATCAGGGTTACTGTTCTATGTTGCCTCATGTCCAGTATCTTGAAAACCTTTGTTTCATAGATATTTCTGTGTTTTTATTTGTTTCAGGAGGGTGGTAAATCTGGTCCCATTTACTCCATCTTAGCTGAAAAGGGAAGTCAACTCATTATTTAAAATAGCTCTTTTCTATTTGTTTATAAGCCATATGTGTTCACTGAGAAAAATTGCAGAGCTTTAGAAAAGTAAAAGATGATAAAGTACAACCTATCGCAGATCCTACTATCTAGAGGTCGTCAGGGCCTAACCACATTTCTTTTTTTTTTTTTTTTTTTGAGGAAGATCAGCTCTGAACTAACATCTGCCAATCCTCCTCTTTTTGCTGAGGAAGACTGGCCCTGAGCTAACATCTGTGCCCATCTTCCTCTACTTTTTATGTGTGGGACGCCTGCCACAGCATGGCTTGATGAGCAGTGCCATGTCCGCACCCAGGATCCAAACCGGCAAACCCCAGGTCGCCAAAGCGGAACGTGCGCACTTAACCACTGCACCACCGGGCTGGCCCCGTAACTACATTTCTGTCCAGTCATTTTCCTGGGGCATCCGTGGCTGCTATTCCTCTCTTCTGTAGTTACAATCACAATATACACATGTGGGTCCTGATTTTTCTTCTCCTAACACCACATAATGAACATTTTCCCATATCATTAAAACTCTTTGAAATTTTAAAGGAAGCACGACACCCATTGTATGAATAGAGTATAATTTATTTAATCAATCCCCTTGTTTAGGTTGTTTCCATGTTTTTGCTCACTAAAATTGTAGCTCATGGATCCAGGTTTGTCTTCACCGCTCACGGTTTACTCAGGGCAGATTCCTAAAAGCGGAGTTTCTAGATTAAAGGAAGCAAGGGGCTTGATAGAAAAAGAAAACTGTGTGTGTCTGTGTGCAGACACACACCCTCGCCCCACGCCGGGGCTAGTCAGGGACAGGGGCCCAGGCGGCAGGGGCTCTGCCACACCCTGACGCGCACATTAAACCCCTTTCCTCACCTTTCAGGGCACCATTGCCCTTGCCTGTAGGGTGAGAGTTGGGCTGTGGCCATTAAGCCCCCGCCCAGCTCTGCAACAGTGCAGCCTTGAGCAGAGGCAGCAGGTGGACGATTCCCGCTGAGACGACGGCAAACGTGGTTCTCTACAGAGCAGCGTCGGCTCCTCAGGGAGAATCGCTTCCCCATAGCCGGAGCCAGAGCAGGTATCTTTCAGGAACCGTTGGAACGGGGAGAGCCCGGGGCCGTTTCACCTCCAAGACCTGACACCACAGCTGGATAATTCAATAAATATATCAAGATTGTAGCGTTGCTTATTTATAAATTTCCACTTCTTGGTCTCACATAATTGACCATTTTAGCAGCACAATTTCAGGGAAAAGATCAGTACCAGATGGGTGTGCAAATAGATGGAGGGAAGAAGACAAACTCTGGAGGTGGGCCCGTGTTCACAGAGGGACCGGGCGTCGCAGAGCCAGCCCTGCAGCCCCCTGGGGATGGATTCTTCTCACGAGGTTGTGCACCTACAGAGGCATTTGGAAGACATGAGACTGGAAGCACATGCCATCCCTTCCACCAGCGTAACTGTGGAAGAGTGAGTCAATTGTTGTTTCAATCAACGGGCTGCCAGGACTGCCTGCTCTCCATCTTCACCTGTGGCCCCACCCTCAGGACTTGTCCCCACCATCACCTGCTCCAGGAAGCCTCCTGTAAGCCCCTGGCCAGGTGTCTTTCCTTGGGGGTCCACGGGGCTCCCGAGTCCAGGCAGACCTGCGCTGAGGGCAACGTCTCTGGAGCTCTGCAAGGGGAAACCGGGCCCTCGCTGACATCAGCCTGCCTGGTGGTGACAGGGCCTCCCGCCCCAGGCACTGAGTGGAGGGGATTCTCCACAGAGACCTGCCAGGGGGCAGTCGTCTCCTGAACAAAGATAACAGCTGGACCCCTTTAGACAAAGTGACAGGTCCCGTGGCCCCAAGGCTGTTTGCGGTGGCTTTGGTGACATCAAGACTGTTTGCTGGTTCACAGCAGTCACATCTGAGCTCATGAGAAGCGTCAGAGGCCTAATTGTGAGAAGGCGTCTCATATAAACTGAGCCCAATGCAAAGACGAGATCACCACGTGGCTGTGTTAAAGCTGTCGTCATTGGAATCAGTGGAGAACTATTCATTGTGCGCTGACCGCTAATGAGCCCTGGCCAGTTGGTGCCTGCAGAGACGGGTGAGGCCACGATGGGCAGCCGTCCTGGCGAGACTTGGCCTGTTTGGGCCGGGATCTGGGCTTATCCACCTGCTTGGCCGACCAGCGCTGTCTCACAGAGTACAGCCAAAAGGTTTTGGGTTGTTTGTCCTTCTGCAGCTGCCCAGCACATTACTTGGAGGGGCTGTCCCCTGTGGGTTGGGTCTCCACAAGAGGCAGGACACTAGCACTGGCACGATGGCCGAGGGGCCAGGCGCTCACCGCAGAGCAGCTGTGGGCAGGGCCAGGGCTTCTCCCACCTGGCACCTGAGCCTCAGGTGAGCAAACAGCCCGTCTGTGCTCACCTGAGCTGGTGGCACTGTGCACAGCAGGCTAGTCTCGTGGGCTGGCCAGCAGCAGGAGCGTTGTCCTGACCAGGCCACTCTGAGGGCCTGACTGCCTGGGCCAAGCTGGCGTGAGCGTGGCAAAGCAACAGTGTGGGAACCACCACACTCGCACCTGCGGCGCAGCCTGCCTCCTCCCCTTCCTCCCCACAACCTGCACGCCTGGGGTCCCCGGAGGGGCCGGCCTGCCCACCAGGGCCCCAGGATGAGCCCCTTGGGGCAGCTGGCTCCACCAGGCCACCCTCACGCCTGCCTCGCCAGCCCTGCTCCCAGCCGGGCCCCCCCGCGGCTGGCTATGTGTCTGACAGCAGAGTTTCTGCGTTCAGATCCTGCGGGCTGCACTTGGTCTCGGGGCTGCGGCCTCTGCTTTTTTTTCTTTTGTGAGGAAAATTGGCCCTGAGCTAACGTCTGCTGCCAATCCCCTTCTTTTTTGAAGAAGAAGATTAGCCCTGAGCTAACATCTGCTGCCAATCCTCCTCTTTTTGCTGAGGAAGACTGGCTCTGAGCTAACATCTGTGCCCATCTTCCTGTATTTTACGTGGGATGCCGCCACAGCATGGCTTGACAAGTGGTGCTAGGTCCGCACCTGTGATCCAAACCTATGAACCCTGGGCCACTGAAGCAGAACATGTGAACTTAGCTGCTACGTGTGGCCTCTGCTTTGAGGCTGGTATGACACACAGCACTGCTTGGCTGGACCCCAGACTTTCCCCCTTCACTGGTGCTGGGTTTGAGCAGCCTTGACCCTGAGCCCCTGATGGCACCAGAGTAAGAGCCGGTGCCCTCCTGGCCCCTGGGGCTGTGTGAGCTGATGGACTGCATGGTCCAGCCAGTGCCCCATGGCACTGAAGTGAGCCAGGGGACACCAAGGCCACCAGGGGTGCTGACTAGAAAGAGGGGCTCCTGCTCCATTCATTTTAGGGGTGAAGGGCCCCATTTCAGTGATTCTAACGTCTGGTCTGTGAAATACTCGAGTCCCTTTGCAGGGAGAGCCTCCGCCCCGGCTTGGCAGGTCCTGGGGGCTGAGTGTGGGGCTGCAGGGGGCAGTGGGCCAGGGCAGCGGCCCCGCTCCCTCCCAGGACTGCTGGCTCTTCCAGGGCAAGCGTGGGCAGGAGACCCCTGATCTGCTGAGGGCCTTGTGGCCCCTTGGAGGCCCCGGATTGTGTACCCCCTGCGTCTTGGGTCCTACGCTTGGTTCTCCTCCTGCCTGGGGTCCTGCGTGCACCCTCGGTGGCCTTTACCCCGCCAGGATGGGTCTGCGAGTTATAAGCAGGTGGCAGCAGCACTGGGAACCCTGCTCCTGACCACTGGGGGCCCCAGCTCTGGCGCTGAGCCGTGGAGACCCCTCCTCAGCCTGGGTCCTCGGGAAGCAGGAAGTCAGCCGGCCTGAGCGGCAGGAATAATCAGAGATCACAAAGTCCAACCTGTAACTCCATGGACTTTATTGGAGGGAGGGGCCACCTCCCGGCCTGTTGCTCCTGTTCTAAAAGCCGTTTTGGCACCAAGCTTGTGGCATCTCAGCCCAGAGCAAGGCTGCTCAGGGCACGGACTCCAGAGATGTGAAGGGCAGGGGACGGCGGGAGGCTGCCCGGGACCCTGCAGGCCGGGCCCTGAGGGGCAGGGGAAGCTGGCTCTGGGGTTGCAGCTGGGCAGGCCAGCCCATCGCCAGATAGCCCTGCGGCCACGCACTTGTGAATGAAACCCCCAGCGTGGACCCAGGGCACCCTCATGTCAGTCCCGCGGTCACACGACGGGGGGTTATGACTGTGGCTCAGGGACTTTCCTCCTGATAAGCCCCAGGCAGCCAGTCCAGGCCTCGGCCGGGACAGACAAAGTCACTTTCCCCCACCTCCTTCCCGGTACCTTCCGGAAGCTGCCAACGCCAGCAGAAGCTGAGCTGCCAGGAACCAGGGGTCAGTCGTCAAGCCGTGGAAATGTCCCTGACCCAGCAGCCCTCGCAATCCAGGCCCATTCTGCGGGGTCTGTGGGCTGGGATCCTTGTGGCCTCGCGAGGGGTGGGGAGGGCGGCACCAAGGGCCTCCTGTGCCCGCGCCTCTGCTGCCAGGCTCTGTAGGACTCAGCGGAGGTGAGGGGTGAGCAGGTCAAAGGCCTCAAAACCCCATAAAAGAAGAATCCACACCGAGGAGGAGCCCAAGAGGCAGATGGGGCCTGTAAAGCTCTTTAAAGCTGTTTAAAGACAGGCGTTTAAAGGTTCCCGCAACCCATCCTGGACAGGCCTGTGTAGATAGCAGGTCCCAGGGACGTCCTGGGACCAATGAGCTTGCACGCAGGTGCAGATGCCGGGCCCTGGATCCCCTCCCACAGGCAGGGAAGGAGGAGGCGCCTGGTCCAAAAAGTCTACCCGGAAACCCAACCTTCTGCCCCCTGCCTGGCCATGGTGTGAGCCCTCGGGACTGGGCCACGGCAGCCGCCAGGGACCTGCCACCCACATCTGGCATGTCCTGGACCACGCGACAGTCACACACCCAGAGGCGGGTCTGGCCAGCCAGGGGAGGTGAAGTTACCTCTGTTGCTGGCTGTCATCAGTGTGCCCAGAGGTCACGTACCGCAGCAAGCTCACCCACAGCACACGGGGTCATCATTGGTGTCTGCTCTCCAGACTCTGTCCACTCACACGTTCAGCAAGTGCAGGCCCATGTCCACCCACACATGGGTCCAGCAATACCCAGAGGGAAGGGGTTTGAGTGGAACAGTCTAAGTACTAGTTAGTACTCACCCACTGGTCCCCAGCAGATCACCTGCTCACACTCAGAATCAGAGACCTCTTTTGTCACAATTGACCGTGAGGGCGCACGCGGCTGATGGTCATGGGGCCACGGGTCGGGACTGCTCTTGGAAAGACAAGGTCTGTCCTCCCCTCCAATGGGTCTGGAGAGTTTTGGACATCAGAGAACCTTGAAGAACTATGTCAAAAATCTCTGTCCTGGAAGCAGATGGCAAGAGGGGGGCGAAATGACAAGACCAGCAAATGCGGAGCACTGGAGTCTCTGCCTGGCTCTGCCCTCCAGCCACAGGTCCCTGAGTGACAGAGAACCTCTCTGGTGCTGGAGGGTCTAGTCAGCCCCTTTTGGGTTTTGTCTTCCGCCAGGTTTGTGTGGCAGCTGGGATCTGGATGGGCCCAGGGGCAGGGAGGAGGCGCCCTGGGTTGGTCTTTGCTGCCTCGAGTCTTGCTGAGGGATGGCCCGGGCTCTTCCTCAGCTGTGATGAGGAAGCAGGCCGACGTCCCCCGGTGGCTCCTGTCCCCCGGGGAGGGCCACCGAGCCAGACGCTGTTTGCTCACTTCGGAGGCGTGGATGTGCCAGGCTCCACTTTCTGGAAATCCCCAGTACCTGATGGCCACCGCCCTCCCTCTCTCCTTGCATAATTGTAAAGTATAAAAAGATTAAACAAGATGAGGAAGTGGAAGTCACAGGCACCTGGCCCGCCCATGGCTCACGGCCAGAGCCCTGAGCTCCCAGCTCGCGCTGCTTGTTCCCCCCTTGCTGACCCGTTGTCCCCCCCATAGCGCGAGGTGGGCTAAACGTGACTTGACCACAGAGAGATCTGCGTTCCGTGCGTCCCAGGCAGGTGCCCTGCCCGACAGAAGCCCCCGGTGAGACTACCCTGCTCCTCGCCAGGCTCCCACCACCCTCTTCTTCCCTTTGTCCAAAATGACATGATGACCAGGGTCGTTGATCGTTCCTGCAGTTGATCCCTTCTCCTCCGCTGATTAGGACGTCGTGAATCACACGAGGAGATGACCGGGTGCCGAGGGCTGAGACTCCTGCATGGGATGCGCCCAGGTCAGCGGTGTTCTCGGGAGGGTCGTTGGCAGCCGCCATCCCAGACCCTCCCTCCCCTGCCCCTGCCTGCCCTGGGGACCCCCAGCCTTCTCTCCCTGTTCAGGGTCTGCAGCGTGGCCCTGCTGTGGTCCTCGGCCCAGCCAGACCCCTGACCACACGCTCCCATGTCTGATGGTGACAAGGGCCTGGCCAACGTCCTCAAAGAAAGGCACGAGGCCCAGGGAGTGGTGTCTGCACCCAGGACCCGGAGCCGGTGCTCCTCCAGCTGCAGGCCCACCCACCCCTTGCCCCCAGCGCCGTGCGCCCCATCGCAACTGCGTTTGCGGACGCAGCAAAGGCATCACCTGCCTGGGGCTGTCTGAGCCGTCAGGACAAGAGTGTCTTCCTAATGAAGGAGAAGTGAGCACCCCCGAATGATGTCACGTCCACAAACTTAAGGCAACAGGCAACCACGAAGAGCAGCAGTGCTGTTATGCAGACCAGCCAGCGGTGCCGAGCTGCGGCAGGGCTGGAGTCCAGACTTCCCAGACGCCGCGGCGCAAGGCGACCCCGGTGTGCTGCGGCGCGGGGCCGTCCCTGACCGTCCCTGCGCTCACCGCTCTTTCCCCATTCGTCCACTCATCCCACACCATGCAGGGGCCCTTCCAGGCACCAGGGCACCAGGGCACCAGCACTGGATCAGACAGAGAAACCCTGTCCCGGGTGCTGGCCTCCACATGAGCAGGGACACAGACTGGACCCACCAAGGGGGAGCGTGCCGGGGCCACACGGTGGGCAAGGCGGGAGGGCACCGTCTTCCTGGCTTGGGCTGGGGAGGCCGCTCGGCACTGGTCCTGTGAGGACAGGCTGTGGAGGGAGGGGGCTCCCACAGAGGCTGGAAGTGGGGGCAGAGGCCAGAGAGAGGTGGGCTTCCATTTCTCCAGGGGCAGCAGCAGGAGGCTGACGCCCGCCCACCTTTTAAGAGGATCCCTTGGCCTCCTTTGGGGGCAAAGGGGCTAGACTGGACCAGGGAGGTGACCAAGAGGCAGGGGCAGCCGAGAGTCATGCTCCCGCATGGCCTCACGCCTGTCACAGGTTCTGCTCTTCCTCGGGGAATGACTAAACTCCACTGTCTCGTCCAGACACACTTTTTGTAGTCTTTTCCCATTTTTTTAAAGACTTTATTTTTTAGAGCAGTTTTAGTTGAGCACAGTGAAGTTGAGCAGAAGGTACAGAGGTTTCCCATATATCTGCTGCCCCCTCGACCTGCACGGGCTCCCCCACCATCAACATCCCACCAGATGTTGCCTTTGTTACAATCAACAAACCTATGATGACGCATCACAATCAGCCAGAGTCCACAGTGCACGCTAGGGCTCACTCTTGCTGTTGTACAGTCTGTGGGTTTGGACAAATGGATAGTGACATGTGTCTACCATTACATTTTCACTGCCCTAAAAATCCCCTGTTCTCCATCTACCCATCCCTATACCCCCCGACCTCTGACAACCACTGATCTTCTTACTGTCTCCATAGTTCTGCCTTTTCCAGAATGTCGCAGAGTTGGAATCATGCAGTGTGGAGCCTTTTCAGATTGGCTTCTTTCACTTAGAAATATGCATTTAAGTTTCCTCCATGTCTTTTCCTGGCTTGATTTCTCATTTCTTTTTAGTGCTGAATAATATTCCACTGTCTGGATGGATCACAGTTTATTTATTCAGTCACCCACTGAAGGACAGATTGGTTGCTTCCAAGTTTTGGAAATTGTGAATAAAACTGCTATAAATATCCATGTGCAGGTTTTTGTTTGGATGTAAGTTTTCAGAACATTTGGGTAAATACGAGGAAGTCTGATTGCTGGATCGTGTAGTAAGAGTCTGTTTAGTTTTGTGAGAAACCACCAAACTGTATTCCAAAGTGGCTGCCCCATTCTGCATTCCCACCATCAGTGAACGAGAACTCCTGCTGCTCCACGTCCTCCTCAGCATTTGGTGTTGTCAGTGTTCCAGATTTTGGCCATTCTCACAAGTGTGTAGTGGCATCTCTTTGTTTTAATTTGCACAGATGAGGTGAGCATATCTTTTTTTTTTTTTTTTTTTGAGGAAGATTAGCCCTGGGCTAACATCTATGGCCATTTTCCTCTACTTTATATGTGGGACACCTGCCACAGCATGGCTTGATGAGCAGTGCCATGTCCGCACCTGGGATCCAAACCAGCGAACCCAAGGCCACCAAATAAGAATGTGCGAACTTAACTTCTGTGCCACCGGGCCAGCCCCAGTGGAGCATCTTGTCATATGCTGTTTGCCATCTGCGTATCTTCTTTGGTGCGGTGTCTGTTCAGATCTTTGGTCCATTTTTTAACTGAGTTGTATGTTTTCTTATTGTTGAGTGTAAAGTGTTCTTTGTATATTTTGGATAACAGCCCTTTATCAGATGTGTCTTTTTAAAATGTTTTCTCCCAGTCTGTGGCTCGTCTTCTCCTTCTCTTGACACTGTCTTTTGCAGAACAGAAGTTGTTCATTTTAATGAAGTCCAGCTTATCGATTCTTTCTTTCATGGACTGTGACTTTGGTTTTGTATCTAAAAACATCCCCAAACCCAAGGTCACCTAGGCTTTCTCCTGTTATCTTCCGGGAGTTTTATAGTTTTGCGTTTTGCATTTGGGCCTATGATCCATTTTGAGTTCATTTTTGTGAAGAGTGTGAGGTCCGTGTCAAGATTCATTCCTGCGTATGTGGATGTCCGGTTGTTCCAGTGTCATTTGTTGATGAGACTGTCTTTGCTCCTTGTGAAAGATCAGGTGACGATATTTACGTGGGTCTATTTCTGGGCTCTCTGTTCTGTTCCACTAATCTATTTGTCTTTTCTTTCATCAATGCGACACTGTCTTGATCACTGTGGCTGTACAGTGAGTCTTGAAGTCGGGTAGTGTCAGCCCTCCAACTTTCCTCTCCTTCAGTGTTGGGTTTGTAATTCAGGGTCTTTGCCTCTCCATATGAATTCCAGAATCAGTGTGCCCCAGTCCATAAATAGCTTGCATCCTGGTTGACGTTAATGCCCGTGCAACCCACCAATCCGCTGCCTCCTCCAGCCCAGTGGCTGCAGCACCTGCCCCCGTCCTTCAGAGGGTGGGCTCAGAGCTCGGGTCCACCTGAACTTGCCCTCGAGTAAATCACTGATCACAGGGATGTTTCAGGAATGAGGACAAGTTTTGCTTTGAAGCCAAACAGGACTGTTGGATTCTCCCCGTTCCCCCAGTGGGGTCACTGGACGAGTCTGATGCTGCTGGAGGAGGTGTCTGGGGCCAGAGTCCAAGGCGGCTGGTCAGAGGTCCTGATCTGAGCTGGTCTCCTTCCCGGAACAAGCAGCTTCCACGAGGCTCCCTGCAGCAGCATTGCCCACGTCCCCCTGCCTGCGGCTCACAGCGGCCATGGGGGCTCAGCCTGGATGGAGGTGGGCTCCATCTTCCACAGCCCCGTCCCGCAGGCTCCACCAGGGAGGGGGCTTGGTGAAGGCACATGGGAGCAGGGAGCTGAGACCCAAAGGGACTGAAGAGAAAGAGGAGAGACAAAGAGCCAGGAGGCAGTGGGTGTCCTGCTGGAATCAGGCGCCGCGGGCCTGGTTGTGTGAGCCAGCATTGAGGGCAGTTTGAGGGCAACTGTGCACACCCGGCCTGCCAGTCCTGGAACCCGCCTAGACAGCCTGCCTTCAACAGGAGTGCCCCAAGGTCACGCTAGCCCTTTCATCCCAGACCCTGTGATGCTCAGGTAGAGACACCCCGCATCCAACCCCACTGACCCCCATCCCACCTGCTCTCCCTCCATGGCCCCCAGATGGAGCCAGCCTCCTCGTCTGACCCTGTCCACCAGCCCCTCCAGACCCCACAGCACGCAGTGCTCCGGTGGACACAGGGTGCCTTTGCCCTGCTTTTCCTCCTCAGAAACGCCCCTGACCCCTCGGCTTGTCCCAGGCCCCGGGCAGCTGTCACTCTGCAGCCCCTCCACCTCCGTCTGCTGCCCAGTGGGCACATTCTCAAACTCGGGGTGCCCCTGGCCCTGGCACAGCTCGGGATGGCTGTCTAGGGACACAGTGCTCCCCTGACCACGGTGGCTGGCCGCCCTGCAGCGCCCGAGGCTTGACTCTCCAGAGGAGGAGGTCCCAGCATCCGTGCTGGCGGCCGGCGGCTCGCTCTTGCGAAGGCTTGGCTCTCTCGTCACACCCTGTCTGGTTAGGGACATTACTCTTGTTTTAATTGTTATTATTACTGTGCATGAAATGATGGCATATTTGGGATGGCTTCAAAACAATCCACTGGAGGGTGGGGAGGAGGTGATCCTGTCCGGCTGATTCAGGGGCAGCCGGTCAAGGAGAAAAATGGAAGGCTGGTGTCTGGAGATTCCTGCATGAAGCCACGAGGGAGAGGGGTTCTCAGTTAATGATGCAGGAGAGAAGCCTTAAGGAGACGCGTGGAGGGGACCCAGCATGGGCCTCAGAGACAGGCAGAGTGCTTCTCCTACTGCAGCTGGGGTCGGGGGGGCAC